ATTAGATATAAAAAAATGTTTTTAAATTATTAATTAAAACTGGATTTTTGTAATATGAAACTTGATTCAGGATTTTTGAAAATTGTAATCTAAAAGTAGGGGTGGGTGTAATTTTCTCTATTAGAATTATATTCAATTAAAGAAAATAGATTATTACTTGTTGAAAAGAGCTGGGCTTGGGCCTCACCTCAGGTCCGGCTCTGCATCCAAACCTTTGTTTACAGACTTCTCCTTTACTCCATGATTGGATTTGAATGGCAAGCAGAAAAGTTCTTATGGTTCTATTACTATGTTTTCATGTACTTTGTCTACTTCACACTTTATGGAACGATGCATGTAGCCCTTACCCCAAGTTACCAAATAGCTGCAATTCTCATGTCATTCTTCCTCAGCTTCTGGAACCTGTTTTCAGGTTTCCTCATTCCCCGAATGGTAAAATATTAACTCTTCTATCTACACGGTTGCATTTTTTACAAATTTTGACAAACATCTATTCTGATTGTCAACCTACCACAACCCTCTTACTTTACCTGGGCAATAAAATGGCGCTTTTTAAGATTTATATTATTGAAGGAATCTAATTCTAATGAAATCTTGACAATTTGCAGCAAATTCCAGTGTGGTGGAGGTGATACTATTGAGGTTCTCCAGCGGCATGGACCTTTTGTGGGCTTGTAACATCACAAGTTGAGGACAAAATGGACTTTGTACATGTACCCAAACATGGTTACATCCCAGTTAAGGACTACCTTAAAACAGTTTCTAGGATATGAGTCTGACTTCCTAGGATATGTTGCTTTGGCAGATGTTGGTTGGGCACTGCTTTTCTTCTTTGTCTTTGTTTATGGCATCAAAGTGTTGAACTTCCAGAGGAGATGAAGAGGACAAGAATTCAAGAAAATCTGGCATGCACAGTTTTTGACAAAAATCCTAGAGACAAACTAAATTAGCACGTTTTTTTTTCTTTTGTATTAATTTTTTTTTTTTTGGTAAGAAATGAATCTATAGAGGTGTAATTTGATAGTTCTTCAGATAAAATAAAAATCTTAATTGGATTTCTACTTGCCCTAATTTGCTTCTATCCTTTGCAAATCTTGGAATTTGCTTCTATCCCTGTTGACCAAAATTTCTTTCAACCCTTATGCTGAAGGTATACATTTTCAAACACATGCTTTTTATCTTTTGCGATCATGTTTAGTATACGAAATTGGACAATAGAAACAACAATCATCTCACATTAACTTTCTTCCTCTGAGTTGTATTTAGTTTTGTTCAGTAACATAATTAGCGTGTTTACTTGTGCCTTCATTTTGCCCAGTAACATAGATTTATTTGCAAGATGAGAACGGGAAAATCATTTAAAGAGGGCACGATAACATATGCAAGAATGTTGCCACCAAATACATAAGCAATGTTTTTGTTGATGCTCATATTATAATGACCAAACTAGTGACTTTAATCCTATAAATTGACAAAGTTTAGGATAGTATATAGCACACCCATCTAATATTATCGGGTAATTAGCAAAAAACGTCTCCCCATCTTTTAGTATTATTGTGCAAAACATTTATACATTTTATTTTTTAACATTTTCACCTTTCATTGTTGAAATCATCATTTTCATCAATTTTCTCAATTAAAACTATGAATGATGATTATACCCTCCTATTTAAAGAAAAGAAAAGAAGAAAATAAAGAACTAATTGCACTCATGATCCCAAATTTTCAAAAAGTTACAAATGAGTCACGGATATATAATTAAAAATCAAAACTAAAAAAAGAAAAATCAATTCATCTCTTCCACCTTTGAACTTTTACTGAAAGTTCTATGATGCTGAATCTCAGGGGCGGACGTCGACGTTTAAAGTTAGGGGAGTACAATCGAACTTGAAAAGAAGTTGGGAGAAATTTTACAATCGAAAATTTACGTCTAAAAAAATTATATCCCATGCAATTTTGCATCCGAAAATTTACATGAGAGTGATGATTTTTTCGGATGTAATATTTCGAAATTTTTTGATATCATATTCCATATAAAATTTCCCAATAAAATGATAAAAATTATATTGAGAAATTTGTATCGCAAAACTAATAAATGTTTATGAAATAATTGAATTTTTTTAATAAAAAATGCTAGTTAGACGTCTTTTTTTAATGAGTAATGGTATTCATCCCCACTGGGAATGAAAACACAGTCTATGTGGCACTAATGTGGCATTAAATGATATGTAAAATTAAATAAGTCATTTAATTTCACCTTTCATTTAACCTATCATTTAATGCCATATAGATTGTGTTTTCATCCCTACTGGGGATGAATAACATTAATCTTTTTTAATACTTACGTTTAACTATTTTCGATATCTATTTGGACTATTCGATATACCCATAATGCAGTTCTTAAAATAAGCTTTAAGATGATATAAACAATTTGTGGATTCGATTAACGTACGATTGTTGGAGAATTTTTCAAATTAGCTTGTTATCGAAATTCAAATTTATTGTGATTTTGCTCTGTTTGGTAGAGATTAAAATCAAATTTTAAGTAAATTTTGATAAAAGTTAAATAGTTATGGATTTCATGAAATATATTATCAGAATTAATTGTCAACTTTGATTTAGATTAAAATTTAGATTCCGCGTGAAAAAAAGTCTGCCCGCTACGGGTTCCGAGTTGATCCACAAATTTTGGACTACAACCCAAACCCGCCTGTTGACCCATCTGGGTTAAGCCCATGCGGGTCGCGGGTCGCGCGGGTCACGATTTGTTCTGATTTGGCCCGTATTATAGTATAAATAAAATTATAAAAATATAGAATTTTCATATTTATAGAAAAAATATTTTTTTTATTCAATGTAAACTAAGAATTGAATAAAACGATAAATTCATATTTAAACCAAGAAATGTTTACATAGAATTCAAATTTAATATTACATGAATTATTTATAACTTTACAAATTTAAATTTAACTTAAACAAATAACAACTAAACACATTTCAAATTACTATTATCAAATATTTATAACATAAGTACATTCCAACTGCTCTCTCCCTCCTTCCATTTTTTTTAAATTTTTTTACATTTTTTAAAATTTTTTTCACGGGTCAGCAGGTTAATCGTAGCCCTGTGAAGGTGCAACTAGCGAAGCTCGGGTCATACCTCCTTGACCCGTGAACCACCTGCTCAGGTCACGGATTGGTCCGCTGTCCCAGATCGATCCAAGTCGATTTTCACGGGTCTGACTGTCCGTCCATCTTGACACCTCTACCCAACTTCTCAAATTGAAATCTTTCCAA